TATAAGCCGCACTGCCGATTTTGGATCAAAATTTAGGATTTTTAGTGCGGCTTATGGTCGTGAAAATACGGTATATGAAACCCTTACCTTATGCATACTGCATCACCCAGACCCACTGAAAGAGCTTGCATGCTATGGTGATTAAAATGAATTGTCTCTTAGAGGAACCATGGAATGAAAAATTCATCTAAGTCATGGAATGATAACTTCACCACCGTAGAGTTAACAAGTCTTCACAGGATGGCTAATACGGTTCTCAAGATTTCTGCATCCTGTCCCTAGAAGTCTGGGAAAAGGCCACTTCCCATTTGCAACTCCCGTTCCTCTCCAATTCAATATTTTTCTTAGTTAAAGAAAGTAAGCCATCCCTTGCTTCCATTGTCTTCTGAGTGAATGAAGGAATAGTTTTCTTGGATCACAGGGAAGCCAGAAAACAAAGATTCTCTTGTTCTCAAAGGACAGCTCATTATCTCTACAGAAAATCAACGGAGTATGTAGAGAATGGAACAGTGTCATCTGAGCCTCCCTCTCAAATGCTGCCTGCTGTAATTTGTGGGAACACTTTTGTCAGATTAAAACTTAGCACCGCCCTACAATTAGAAAATGATTTCCCATTAATTTCATTAAGAATGAGATGTAGGCAGGATGACTCATTACAGATTAATATACATTAGTTGAGTACCTTATCATTAAATACATTTTTCTTTCCTTCAGGATGGTTTGCAGACAGAAGCATATAAAAGTCAGCAGTGGTGGGTACCCCAGGTTTTATTACTGTCATAAGACTTTCTTCGGGTAAGCATGTTTCCTAAAAGAAGAAAAAACATTGGATCTGGATGACTACCTTCAATTACAGATCTTTTAATAAGCTTTGAATTTGATCTATTTTTTGAATATTTTAGTCAGATATACAGTAGGTATAGAAACCACATCCTGTCTGACATTATGTAGTCACACTAGAAACACTTTTTCAGAAGGAGGAATGGATGTTAAGAAAAATAACCAAAAATTCAAGATGCTTATAAAAATATTTTCCCAAAAAATTATACATTAAACCCAACTATATTACAGTTTCCCAAAAGTTTCGATTGGTGACAATTGGAGTACTTCTATTAGGACAAGGAAAACCTTTCAAAAGAGGTTCTCTGCCAACATAGAGGAGAATATACAAAGACCTCTCTTTGACTTATGAAAACAGCCATTATTTTTTCCAGGGACACACATCTGCTTCCAGCTGTCGACCCTTGTGTATACTTCAGTTCACTTGCTTCCCAGCTGCTTTAATGATTCAAAGGGAATCCTTCATGAACTTTCCAGAGTGTTACACGGCATTTTAGAAAAATTATGTGCTGCCTTATGTGCTGCCTAAATCCCCATCCTCCCCATCCAATAAAATTTAGAGAAAACCCAGATTAAAAATATCAACCCAATTTTAATACAGACATTCTTGCACTTTCTAAAATTAAGAGCAAGCATCCGGTGGGTTACTTTTCTCAAACTAAACCAGATGGCCTTTTTTCTCTAAATGTTCTACATTTTAGTTTAGGGGACAAAGTTTTGATTTTTTTAAAATAAAGCAGTAACAAGAAATAGTCCAACATATACTTATCAAAAGTAATGTACTAAAGAACAATAAACCTCTGCCACAATGGTAACTTTTAATTAATTTAAATTTGCTAGTTTATAATCTGAGAAGGAGGTACCCAGAACCAAGTAGAGTACCTGGGCAATCCGTTGTGTTACCACATGACCAACATCCTCTCGCCAAGCAGGTATATTTGGGTTGTATAAATCTAGATGTTCAGAAAACTTTAACGGAAGAACTTTATAATGATCTGGAAATATGAAGAAACAGCGCAACTAAATAATTGGAAAAAGCTTTCTAAAAATAGCAATTCTAAAATGATTCAAAGGATTCTATAAATGTAATTATGCATGTGTATCAAACAAGTATCCTGAAGTTATAACTTATTTGTTATATTGAAACAACAAGCAACACAACTATAAATTATAAATCATGGGAGCAACAGAATTAAACAGATATCAAAAAGTGCACTGACTTGCATTTTCATTGCAATGGCTGTAGATTGTTAACTTCACTCTAAACTCACAGTATCTGCAACTGGATGATAACAATACATATTACTAAATATCATTACAAGGATGGTACCTCACCCAAAACCTGGATAATCTTGGAATCCTGAAGCATAGAATTTCCACAAGAAGCTTGAACTGTAACTCTGATTTTTCCTGCTTCAGCAAAACTGGTTACCAAGAAATTTTCCAGTGAAAGAACTGGCTAAAGAAAAGAAGTGATAGAGAGAAAATAAATGTGAGCCAAAAAGTTCCTAATTCAGTTTCAAATTTGGAGTGTTTAAAAGGTTTGCAAACAGTAATGGCTTTTCCCCCTAATTTGAAAATTCACTAAAATATCACAGGCATCAGTGAAAATGAGGGAATGCATATGACCCTAATCATCAGAATATTTATTATGTGAAGCAACAATAGAGTCACCAGCATGTAACCTCCATTAATTGCTCTGCTACATGCATCAACTGTTAGTATTAAGGGAAAAAGCAACCCATCACAAAAACAAAAAATAATGAAGTAAAAATAGCAACAATACTGATAAATGCTAAATATTGATATAATACCATAATGGGTTTCAATTACGAAAATATTCATTAGATATACAGGTAATTTCTCTTAGCAATGAATAACAAAGATTGTTCCAGTACGTAAACAACTACAGTGAAGGATTCAAAGTCAGAAGGCTTCATTTCTAGTTATCTTTGAACCAGAATTTTATTTTTTTTCTTCAAAACCATCACAGATCCGCTGCTAGACCCCCTGCAATTTGCACACTGAGCAAGTAGATCGAGAGATGATGCTGTTAATATGGCTCTGCACTACATCCTACAATATCTTGAATCTCCAAAGACCTATGCAAGGGTCCTCTTTGTAGACTTCAACTCAGCAATCAATACTATCATTCCAGATATTCTTCCAACTAAACAAAATCAGCTAGCTGTACCTGTTCACACTTGTAAATCAATCATAAGCTTCCTAACAGACAGAAAGCAGCAGGTGAAGCTAGGCAAAAACATCAGATACCGATACAATTAGCACAGGAGCCCCCCAAGGCTGTGTGGTCTCTCCATTTTTCTCTATACGCCAATGACTGCATCTCAAAAGATCCCTCTGTTAAAATACAGAAGGTTGCAGATGATACAACAGTAATTGGTCTCATTTAAGACAACAGTGAATCTGCATTCAGACAGGAGGTTGAACAACTGGCCTTGTGGTGCAACCAGGACAATCTTGAACTAAATACACTCAAAAGGGTAGAAATGGTGATAGATTTTTAGGAGAAATCCTCCTAAACTGTCACCTCTTACAATACTAGACAACACAGTATCAATAGTAGAGATCTTCAAGTTTCTAGGTTCTATCATATCTCAAGACTTAAAATGGACACCTGTCATCAAAAAAGCACAACGAAGAATGTTCTATCTGCGCCAACTCAGAAAGTTCAAACTTCCCAAAGAGCTTCTGATTCTGTTCTACAGAGGAATTATTGAGTCTGTCATCTGCACCTCTATAACTGTCTGGTTTGGCTCTGCCATCAAACAAGACAGACACAGATAATTAGAACTGCAGAAAAAACAATTGCTACCAACCTGCCTTCCATCGAAAACCTGTATACTGCACGAGTCAAAAAGAGGGCTGTGAAAATAACTACAGACCCCTCTCATCCTGGATTTAAATTGTTTCAACTTCTACCCTCAAAACGATGCACACCAGAACAACTAGACATAAGGACAGATTTTCCCCCGAATGCCATCACTCTGCTAAACAACTAATTCCCATAACACTGTCATATTACCTACTAAGACTGTATTACTATTATTCTTCTTTTCCTTCCTAGCACCTATCTCTTCTCACTTATGATTATAACCATGTTACTTGTATCTTTAAAATTTATATTGTTGTGTTTGTTTCCTATTACAATTTGACTGCTTATTCGTAACCTACGACTATCACTAAGTGTTGTATGTTATGATTCTTGATGAATGTATTCTTTTTATTTTTCTTTATGTACACTGAGAACATATGCACCAAAGATAAGTTTCTTGTGTGTCCAATCACACTTGGTCAATAGTTATTTTCAATGGAAGAAGGAGGGAATCCATGAATTCTTTATTTTCTTTACAGCAAAAGGGGCTTAAAATGTGGTGAAAATCCCCACATTTTAGTACTGTCTACTAATTGATAGTCAGAAAGAACAGAAGAGTATTGATCTAAGTATGTAAAAAGTAAAACATTATACAATATTATTACCCGCAATATTAATATTACTTTATTATCATCATGAATGCAGAATAAAATATTGAATTAAAATACAGTTCATGATCTCATTTAAATGAAAATGTATTTTCATAACCCCCATTTACATTTACAAGCTTCTACCACTCAGTTTTTCAAAACTGGAAAAAATCCAGTAAAACCTTTCCTTGAACAACCCCTCCCCTCCTTTTTAAATTGATGACCGGATGCTTTGCCTGGCAGAGCCCCAAATCTACTTGGTTCCAATGAATCCCTTTGGTTTCAACATTTCTAAGAGTTCTGAGAAGGGGAGATGGCTGCTTGCCATGGCTCCCAAGCACACATAATTGTAAAACAAAGAAGCAAGTAGACAGTTCAAATAGGAATCTTTCAGATTCAGTTACTTTCTTCTGGAAGAAGAAGAAACTGGAAGAAAGTAACTGAATCTGAAAGATTCCTGTTTGAACTGTCTATAGGTTTTCACTGCGCTAGATGACGAGCATGTAAATGTTTGATAATGACACAAATATCTTAATATTGATTTTTCTTTGGCAACAGAATCACACACAAGAAATTAAGATATCCCTGCATTAATCTAAACTATGAAGTAGAACCCTTGATCTGGACTTAACCACAATAAAAAATCTCTACGTGTTTAGTAGGTGTCTGGTTAATTTTAGAATTTCCACTCCATAATCTCTGACAACTAAATTAATACAAAAGTTTCTTAATTTCTCTTTCTCTAAATCCCTCTATCAAATATTATATTATATATAAATATTATATTAACAGATAATTTATACTTCTTTTTCAGAAGTTTCTTGCATTGGAGCTCCTCCCACCCCACATGGACTCCCAATTCAGGGTTCGATGCACATGTTCTTATCAAATTACCACAGTTCAGGAATATTTTCCTTTAAAAATTAACTAGAACACCTACTGAACCACTATATTTGCAAGCATTAATTGATTGTCACAGGCTTGTAGTGTGATGTTACTAAACAAACTTGCCATAATCATAGTTCACTTGGAGCACCGTTATTGTGAGTAGTTAAACTATCTGATAGTCACACTTACATGAGTGAAAATGCTGCTATTAACTCCTTTTAATGAAACTGAGGATTGAAAGTAATGCTATTTCTAACAGGACAATCTTCACTATTCACTACTAAGTAACTCCCCAAATCAAGAGGGGGAGTTATGGATAATAATAAAAAAAGATCGCATGCACTGAGGAGTACAGTCTGAATTGCTAAACAACAACCTATGCTTGCAACACACAGTGCTTTGCTATTTCTGCATTAGAGAGCCGAGGTGGCGCAGTGGTTAGGGTGCAGGCCACTTCAGCTGACTGTTATCTACAGTTCAGCGGTTCTAATCTCACCAGCTCAAGGTTGACTCAGCCTTCCATCCTTCCGAGGTGGGTGAAATGATGACCCAGACTGTGGGGGCGAT